TCTCAACAGGGACCCCTCTTTTGCAATCCAATCTGTCTCCATTCCAGTATGAGCTATGAGAACCGTACAAGACTTTTGCTAACTGTCCAATTTGCTCCCCAAGTCTGTTCCTAGCCTCCTTTGTATCTTTAAACCACTGGGTTAAAGCACAAACCATCCAGCAGGAACCATTGAACTCTTTATGCCACTGGCAGGGGTTAACATTTGGTTATGATGCCGACAAAGACCGCATCTAGATCGTTGTTGTTGTATGCCTTCGTTTCTAACTGAGCGTTGGACCAGGACTCTGGAGACCAGGGTTTAAATCCCGGCTTCACCACGCAAACCCACTGGGTGACCTTGGGCAAGTCACACACTCTCAGCCGCAGAGGATGACAACGGCAAACCCCTGTAAAGGAACTTGCCAAGAAAACGCAGCAATAGGTTCACCTTAGGGTTGCCATATGTCGAAAACAACTTAAAGGCACGCAACAACAAGAAGAACAACAATTCAGACTTAGGGCAACCCATATGGGGACCCTATCATGGAGTTTCCTTGCAAAGTTTCTTTGGAGGGGGTTTGTCGTTGCCATCGTTGCTACAAGAAAAGAGATTCCACCTCATCATCAGGAGGAAATTCCTTCAACAGTGGAAGACACTCCCTTAGAGAGCAGTGGAGTCTCCTTCTTTGGAGGTCTTTAAACAGAGGCTGGATGGCCATCTCTTGGGGGTGCTTTGATTGTGAGTTCCTGCATGGCAGGTGGTTGGACTGGATGGTCTTTGGGGGTCCCTTCCAGCTCTGTGATTCTATGATTCTCTGAGGCTGAGACAGTGTGACTTGCCCAATGTCACCCAGTGGGTTTTTATGCTCGAGCGGGGAATCGGACCCTGCTCTCCAGAGTTGTAGTCCAACACTCAAACCACTACACTACACCATGCTGGCTCTCTTTGGGTGATCTAGAAATAGTTTAATAAATGAAATAACCAGCATTTTCCAGGCATGCTACACCCTCAGTGCCTCTTCTTCTCTTACTCCCCATAGAAAGCTCTCTGCATCTCATGCATTCCAATATGGGAAAGAGAAAGTATTGTGAAAGTACTGGCTGATGGATGGTGGGAGTTGTAGTCACACATCTCTGGAGAGTGCCAGATGACTGGTGTGGATGATGGTATGGAAGAACAAGGAAAAAAGATTGGAAAGGTTTTGTGGATTCACTCACACAATTCATGTCCCGTGCATGAGCCATGGTGTAGTGGTTTGAACATTGGAATAGGAATCTGGAGACCAGGGTTCGAATCTCTGCTCAGCCATGGAAACCCACTGGCTGACCCTGGGCAAGTCACACTTTCCCAGCCTCAAAGGATGGCAATGGCAAACCTCCTCTGAACTAATCTTGCCAAAAAAACCCCTGTGATAGGTTCACTTTAGGGTCCCCATAAGTCAGAAACGGCTTGAAGGCACACAATAGACACACCTTTGAGTTGGAGATTTTTTTGGCTCACCTGAGTAATGTGGAGAAACTTCTTTATAGATTTCTCTGTCTGGTTCAGGAAGGTGGACCTTGCGTGACGCCTTTTTAAGTCTTGGCATCCTGGACAAAAAAAAAAAAAAAAAA